TTTTATTGGTTGTGCTTTTGGTACCATAGCTAATTTTTCTAACCCTTGGTCACAAATTTTTCCTCATACATTTTCTTCTAGTTGCCTTAACTATTACCTTTAGCTGTGATTCGGCTTAAGTTCATTTTCGTCTGTGATGTCAGAGGCAGAGGCCACTCGAGCTTTTGCTTGTCGAGCTACAGTTCTCCCAGCGTGTTTGTTCACACACAGGGCTTTCCAGGAGTCCCCTCAGCCTTTCAGCAGGAGCTTCATTCTCCCACACCACCACTTTGGTTCTTAGTCACACTTCCATGAGTATTCATCGGATTTCTCCCACAAGATACACACCAGTGTCCGAATGATAGTGCCAACAGAGCTGTCATTAATAGACATCTTTGAGGTCTTCCCAAATACAGGGCCCGTCTAAAAAATGCTGCCTTTTGTGGGGCAGCATTCCTATAAACTCAGTACAAGTGTTCAATGATTTGGGAAGATGTTCACTTGATAATAGCCCTAACCTTTTTCAATTACATAAAAATTAAAGTCTCCTTTTTTCTTTAAATGTGCCTTAACCAGACTAACAAAAATATATTGCTGAAAGAAGTCTGCAGTTACCTACTGATGGCAGAGACACTTTGAACACATTTTTGGGTGGGTTTTATGTGTTTTGTTTTGTTAATCGACTTGTACTACGGGGATGAGCTGTCGTCCTTGTTGCAGTAGTTTTTGAACTGTCGCCTGGGATCCCACGTTATCATAAGCCAGGTTATCACAAGTCCAGGGCCCTTAGAGCTGGATGTTTCAGTTCATTCATTCATTTTAGCCCTTTTTTTGGTTGGGATTTAATACATATACATATCATTCCATATTTCAATCACATCAAGTAGAATGTACAATTGCTACCACCATCAGTTTCCAAGCATTCTTTTTCTACATGGACTCCTTGACATTGTCTCCCTTTTACCGCCCACACCGCTGCTCGCTCCCCACCCCCCCTACCCCCAGCCCTTATTCTACTTGCTGTCCTGACAGGTTGATCAATCCTGGGTTGTTTCGATTCTTTTTTTCTAGCCAGTTTCCGTTCTTTTTCAAGGATGAAAGATGCTTATGCATATTATTGAGAGCTAGGTAAAGATTTCTTCTTTCTTTTTAGCTGAGCTCCTCGCCAAAAAGCAGCCATTAAAAACCAGTGAGGTCTACTCTGATGACGAGGAAGAGGAAGAGGACGACAAGTCCAGTGACAAGTCCGACCGGTCGTCCCGCACGTCGTCATCCGATGAAGAAGAAGAGTAAGCGTGTGCCTGACGTAGTAGTCAGGATGGAGCACGCTCAGGGTCGTGCCTAAAATGTGCTTGCTTGGGTTCAGTGCCCCAAATGGCTTAACCGAGTCCCCTCAGCACACCCACCCATTCATTCCTTCTGGCTGCTGACTCTTAGCTTGTCTCAGTGTTTCCCGAAGGAAAGGACACTGTCCATTCTGACAGAGACTGGCCAGGAGACTTGGCTGGTTTTCTTACTCGTTTCTGTTACCCAAGGCAGCAACCACTATAATGCCAGACTGTTGAGTTCGTTGAACATTCCTGGTTAGGAAGCGAACTCTTGTGAGCACTTTCCTAGAGCTTCACTCCTTCCCTCTCCTGTGTAAACCACCCCTGCTTTGATTAGGCTTTGAGAAGTAGGTTTCATTTCTCCATCTTGACCTGCGTTTAGGAGAAACACTGCCCTGTACCCTCTGTTCTTCCTAGGAAAGAGGAACTCCCTCCAAAATCACAACCTGTCTCCTTGCCAGAAGAATTAAATCGAGTCCGGTTATCACGGCACAAGCTGGAGCGGTGGTGCCACATGCCCTTCTTCGCTAAAACTGTCACGGGCTGTTTTGTACGCATCGGCATTGGGAACCACAACAGCAAACCAGTTTACCGGGTTAGTATTCCTCTCGCTGGACAATTGTCCGTGTTTTAAAGATGATTCTTGACTCGGGGCTCGGCCTTCTGAACCGATCTGTTGCTCTTTTGCCATCATTCCACTTGAAAACAGACTCCAACTGAGATGGCCACAGAATAGTGACAGTCTGAAGTGACCCAGGATCATGCATGACCTGCCACCAGGAGGAATACTTGGAGCACAAGGGACGGGTGGGTTTAGACTGAGAATAATTTTTTCTATCCTCCTTCAGGCTAAGGGGGAAGGGAGATATTGGTGAAGTAACTGATGGGGATTCAGTCAAGGATGTGTTCATTGGCAAAACAAATGCATGGAAATACTCCGTGTTAAATGCCAAAAGACACCTGGAACAGGAAACCATACTGAGAAACAATTTTTTAAAATTGCCTTCATCATGATAAAAGTTGTTATGTGGGGTCTAGTGTAACTACCACTGTAGTCCATATGGCTAGAGCAAAAAAACATTTTTTTTAAGTTTGGCTACTTTTTGTGTTTTGTTTTTGATCCTGAGCTCTTAACGTGCTTACCTCCTTCTGCCATATCCTGCAGAGCTTGGCCCTAGTGGTCCTCACATCTGGGTGATAAGAACTGGCTGATATCCCAAGTGTGTTCCTAGTAAGGCAGAGGAGGGGAGGGGAAGCCTCTATAGGCCCACCAGGCTGCCTCTTCTCCTGGGACTTCCATACCCTGAACTCAGGGCTCCCTATGCAGGACTGTGCAAGCTCTAAACCTGAAGCAGGTGCCCACACACCTGGAGGCTCTGCGAGTCTCTGCATGAGGCCGCTGTCAGCATTTCTTTGGTGGTGTGTGTGTGGCTGTAGCTGTGGTTGGGTCCACTGCAGGGTGACGGTGGCCCCGTGTGACAGTGGGGCGCGGTTATCATCTTTACAGAAGCAGATGGCCAGGAAGGACTTGTTTTCATCTCTTAGGCCACGGAGTGGGTTTGCACCACCAACTCGTAGGTTCGAAGCCAATCACAAACTGCTTGTCTTGAGCCCCCTGGAGACTGGTCGAGAGCTCCAGAGGAGAAATGGTGGGGAACACTCCGGCGGCGTGTTTTTGACAGTGTCCCTCCTTGTCACTTAGGTAGCTGAAATCACGGGTGTTGTGGAAACTGCCAAAGTTTACCAGCTGGGTGGCACCAGGACAAACAAAGGGCTGCAGCTACGGTAAGAGAGTTGCTCCGGTGACAGCTGCTGCTCCCACTGCAGACAGGTGCCTGTCCCGGCTGCTTGTCCTCCCAATGTGATCTGTCTGTCATCACACTTAAGACCGTAAGCATGGGTTATGCAGATGCACTCTGTCACAGGAGAGAGCTTGGCGTCCTTCCCAGGATGGTGAGAAACCCTGCTTCCGGGCCCAGGTTGGACTTTCCTTGAGCTTGAACTGGAGGCGTGCTGCCAAGCCTGGCACAACCCCTGACTAACGGTCCAATGAAATGTCATGCACTCCAACATTCACTGAAGACCTACTGTGTGCCCGGCACTGTTCTGTGTCTCCGAACGGCTGGGAGAACACAGCAGGCGCAGGTCTTCAAGGCCTCATGAAGGAAGGACTCAAAGAGGTAGTTTGCCAGACTTGCCTCTCCGTCCGCAAGTGGCAGAAACCACTCTTACCCAAGCCCTTGCGGTGGGGTCGGTTCTGATTGATAGCAGCCCTGTAAGCCAGAGCAGGTCTGCTCCCAAGGATTTCCAAAGCTCTCGTCTCCACAAAAGCAGATTGTCACTGCGCTCTCTTCCATGCAGCAACTGTTGGTTCATGTCACTGACCTTTTGCCTGGCAGCCAGGCGCTTAAACTCTGTGCCACCAGGGCTCCTAGACACAGCTCTGCCATGGCCTAATGTGATCTCCATGCATTCTCCATTCCCCTCACCCCCTCAGCATCTCCCCGGCTCTGTTTAAAAAGCGTCGGATGGGATGACGGATGGCCATTGCAAGTAGAACGTGACTGGCCTCTGGAGAATGACACAGGGCCACTCCCTTTGCCAGCACAGTGGTCAGTAGAGTGGAGAGGTAGTGTCCATGCTCTAGGGAAACGGGTTCGTTGTCGTTCACTAACTACAGACTGTTACCGCGTCTTCATGGGGACTGACTGTGCTCATAAATGGACTGTGGAAGTTCTAGTCAGTCTACTGAATTTCCAGGGCTGGGCGGGTGGTGGTTCTCAGGGCTGCCTGCCCATGAGATGTGACTCATTTGGTGCAGGATGGTCCTTAGGCACTGGAATGTTTATAAGTCTTCCCAGGTAGTTCTGAGGGCAGGCAGAGTGGAGACCTTCCAAAGGAGGCGGCACACAGTCTGCTGGGCTGGCTGCCTCTGTGGTCTGCATGCTCGTTTCCCAAGATGCGCTCTTTTTATGTAGGCATGGCAGTGACCAACGCGTATTCCGCCTGGAGTTTGTCTCAAACCAGGAATTCACCGAAAGCGAATTCATGAAGTGGAAAGAGGCGGTGAGTGGCTCGAGGCCACCCAGCAGGTGTGGGCGAACCCCTGGGAAACTCGTTCTTAACTCCCTAGTAACAACTGTCTGTCTGGTTTTGGCCCAGATGTTCTCGGCTAGCATGCAGCTGCCCACTCTAGATGAAATCAATAAGAAGGAAATCTCTATTAAAGAAGCTCTTAATTATAAATTCAATGATCAAGACATTGAAGAGGTAAGACACCTGGTGCCCAGAGCTTGGAGGTTCATCAAGGACTAGTGTCTAGAGAGGCTCATTCATGCTCATTTTCCTCTTTCCCTGGATCGTGATCTTTTTTAGCTGCGCTATTATTCGTGACACTGAGGGAAGACTAAGACTGCTACCTTATCATTTAGATCCCATCATCTTCCTGCGAACAGAACCAGAACAAAAGCCCAGGGCCACCAGGTCACTGTGACTCACGGTGCCCCTTGAGGGCATTGTAGAACTGCTGCCCCAAAAGGTTTCCCAAGCCGCAATCTCCACGGAGCCCACTACCCATCTCTCCCCCGGAGCAGCTGGTCTGCTCACACCGCTGGTCTTGTCTGGGAGCAAACACACACATGGGCCACCTGGGCTTCTCCTCCACGCGTTGCCATTTAAAGTCATAGACCTAAGAAGTCTATCCAGGGTTCAGGAGCCTATAGTTCCAAAGATTTTGCTAGGCTTAGCCCTTCAAGCATTGTCTTCCTCCAGAAAGCCTGGTGCAGTTCTTTGATCTCTGTTCTCTTGGATGTGGCTAGCCAACTGCCAGGCCCCTAGGCTGCGCATGGTCCTTCAGACTGTCCGGAAGAGTCTCCGTGACCCAGGAAGCAGCATAGTATCTCTTGGAAGAACTTGCTCGCTACTGGGGCACGCTATCAGAAGAGCAACCTTTTCAGTGGCCGCTTGTCTCTCGCGGGCTCCCATATCCTCTCTACAAACATAGCTGAGGAATACCTCACTGCTGGTATCTCCTCTCTGGTACAGATTGTAAAAGAGAAGGAACGGTTCAGGAAAGCTCCGCCCAACTATGCCATGAAGAAGACTCAGCTGCTGAAGGAAAAGGTAAAGGGCTTGGGCTCTGGCACCTCCCCTCTGTTGGGGGCTGAGACTGCTCATGCATTCACCCTGGGCCCCGTCTATGGTGGCAGAAATGAGAGAAAGGACTGGGCTCAGCCCCAGGCAGCAGGGAACCGTGCTTCCTAGTTCCTTGCGCAGCGCTCAGTCTTCCCTGTCCATTGAAGCTGATCTTGCCTGCTCATTTCTCCTTCCTGCTGAGTTCCTTTAGTTGTGTATATAATGGGAGACCCTCAGCACTGGCTAGACAGACGGTCATGTTACCAGGCCCAGCTGTGGTGAGTGTTTTCCATTCTCAGCATCAGGATGGGATGAACCTTGTCATTGGTGGTTTGACCAGTTAAGACCTGAGTTCTGAGTTTAATATTCCACCCCCCTGCCGCCCGAGCCGCAGAAAAATGCAGCTGCATGGGATGTTGTTGTTGCTGTTGATAAAAACCAAGCCTGACGTTTGTTAATGACTTACTCTGTGCCCTTTCCCCGCTTTGCCATTTGTTCATCCACTGAGCTATCTTGCCTGTGCTAGAAGTCAGAGCCCAGAACTCATACATCTCTCCATGTGCAGGCCATGGCTGAGGACATGGGGGATCAGGATAAGGCCAAACAAATCCAGGACCAGCTGAATGAGCTGGAGGAGAGGGCAGAGGCCCTAGACCGCCAACGGACCAAGAACATATCTGCCATCAGGTTTGTGACTGCGCTGTCTTGCTTAGGCCCTTTTCCTTGGTCCACAGGCCTTGGCGGAAAGGTACACCTATGGCCTTGTAGCACTGGGCTGCACTGACTCCACAGATCTCCGCATCAGGGTTCAGTTCCCTCCCCTTGTCACAGCCCCCTGACCAGTCCTCTTACTCCATAGTTACATCAACCAGCGGAACCGGGAGTGGAACATTGTGGAATCGGAGAAGGCGCTTGTGGTAAGACACCATTCTCTGGATTACTGAAAAAAATTAATTAATGAACCCATATGAAATCTTTTCTGCATCAGGCTGCAGTTTTTATTAATTATTGAAGTACTTAGCCCACACATGCTTTCCTTACTCAGCAAGAGAGAATAGATACCTGTGCTCATAGCTAAGGCTGGCAGAGTGAAACATGGTCTGGTCTGTGTCGTCGTCCTGCTCACCAGCATGTCTGTGTTCTACGCCGAGGCTGTCGTGCCCATCCATTTCCCTGAGGCTCCTCTCCCCGCTCCTGGGCCCCCACTTTACACAGGATGGCTCCCTCCATCGATTGATCCTTCCCAACCTCATGTCCAAAGTAATAAGTCAGGCGGTGTTCTGGGTGATCCATAGGTTAATTGCCTAAAGTAGATTGCCATCCATTCCTAACTAGACCGCTAGTCTGTGAAATGCACGGTGTAGCTCCCAGCACAGGACAACAAACGCCCAGACAGCGCACACCTGCAGCGTGTCACTGTACTCAGAAGCTGCCGCCTTCTTCCCTACGGTACTGCACGGCTGCTCTGGTGTTCCTCGGGGGACTTGAACGGCGGACGTTTTATTTATTCTTGTTTATTTTAAGCCCCTAACGGAGAGTTACTTGGATGTAAGCTTAGATGAACAAGAGGGAGGAAGGGAGGGGAAGGAGATGCATTCTGTAATGCACTCTGTCTGTCTCAGGCTGAAAGTCACAACATGAAAAACCAACAGATGGACCCCTTCACCCGGCGCCAGTGCAAACCCACCATCGTGTCTAACGTGAGTGCCTAACGAGGACGCTTCAGTCAGGACCCAGATTCTGGGACATGAAATGAGCTTCATTAGGAGATTAATAAAGAAGTTAAAAATAGCGGCATCTTACCTGGGATTTGATTGCCTCGAGCTCTTGGGCCTGGATACTTCCGTCTTGACCCTGCTGTAGGCTGTGTAGTCAGGGGAAACTGGCATGGAGCTGTGAGCGCCAGTGGAGGAAGAAGCCCAAGCCCCTTGTGCTGGGTGGGGATAGCAGTGCAGCCCATGTTCATACTGGACAGGATGAGTCACCTGGGTAGAGTAGGGCTGGGCTGTAAAACTTGTAATTCCCTTTTTGCTGTCTCGAAAAGCCCCACTGACTGCTGATGGATGGTGGTGGTGGTGGGTGGGAAAGACAGTAGGACTTTCTTAAAATGGACATGTTTTCTCTCTCAGTCCAGAGACCCAGCTGTTCAAGCTGCCATCATGGCCCAGCTGAATGCGAAGTACGGCCCGGGAGTATTACCAGATGCTCCAAAGGAAATGAGCAAGGCAAGTGTGGGATTGCCCGGTGGCCTGCGGAGCGCGCTACTGGCCGGGACACCAGAGCAGGTGCCCTGTCTGGGTTGGCCTTGAGTTTTGCCATCTGGTGGAACATGACCTTTTTCCATTCAAAAAAGAAAACCAACAATTGCTACTCATTGTGACTATGGGTTTCCAAGGCTCTCACTTCCTGGGAGCAGATAGCCCCAGCCCTGTCCCACAGAGCAGCTGGTGGGGGTGTGGATGGGGAACCTTGTTAGCAGTCCACTGCGTTTCCACAGTGCCGCCAGGATTGTGTATTCCCCATCCCAGTTATTTACAAATGGAATGAACTTTCCCTAAATCTTAAACCTATAGCCTACATTCTGTCACGACCATTTAACCAGGACCTTCCTTCCCTTTGGCCTTAGCAGCTGAGATTTGGCCTCTTGGTGCACATTTACATCTGTAGATAGTGGCCATGGGTACTCTGCCTGCTTCACAGACACCGTGTAAGGATCTAAGGGTGGAAGCTCTTTGAAAACTAAAAATGTTCTACAGGCAAAAACTGCCTGTTTAGAAGCAGATTCCTGCCTTTTTCACTGTTAGGCCTTGACCTGGGGAGCCGCACCGCCCAGGAGTCTCTGAGATCCGGGATCAGAAGGTGACTTGTATAAAGTTCACCCTTTCTACCCCTAGCCCACAGGCATGTGGCTGCCCTCCTCGCTGCTTTTAGACTCAGACAAGTTGGTCTGTGGCCTGCCCAGCTCCCTTGCTGGGAAACGGAATCCGGCAAGGGCCTCGGCAGGAAGATCGACTGAATTTGAGCCAGAGCACCAACCTTGCCTGCCTGCCATTCCACACTGATAGGTTCCTCTTCACATTGCAGGGCCAGGGGAAAGATAAAGATTTGAATTCTAAGTCAGCCAATGACCTCTCTGAAGACCTATTCAAAGTACATGATTTTGATGTGAAGATCGATTTACAAGTTCCCAGCTCAGGTGAGTGTGTGAGAGGGTTGAGGTGCAGGGACGGCCGGGACCAGATGGCTCCCTGGCTTCCTTTGCCAACCAGGACTCTTGCTTGTAGAGCACCTGCAGCTCGGGCGGGGGGAGCTCATCATTGTCTGGAGGCCAGAGTGAGACAGGCTGAGGGGGGGGGTCAAGGTCACTGACCGCCCATGTTCTCTTCTTGCCCATAGAGTCCAAGGCTTTGGCCATCACCTCCAAGGCTCCGCCAGCCAAGGACGGGGCTCCGAGGAGATCTCTGAACTTGGAAGACTACAAAAAGCGGCGGGGACTTATTTGAGCCTACTCAGCCTGCTGCTTCTGACCCTGCATGTCCCTCCCGCTTTCTTCTTCTCCATTGATTTGCCCGCTCTGGGCCGAAGCAGCAGAACTGGGAAGAGACTCGGCACTGCCACCCTCTGTAATACAAACCATTTGCTGTATAGATCTCCCTTGTCTGCACCATCGCCCACCAACTCCTGGCCCCACCGAGCATGGGCCTGGACTCTCGGGCTTCATCCATGTTTTCAGATTTGTGTTTCCATTTTTGGTTTTGAAACCAGCACAATCCATTGGCCGCTCTGCACGCGTTCAGTATTACCATGGAGCTGGGAGTCTGGCTGGAGCCCTGAGTGTCCATAGCTGCAGCACGGGGCAGTCTTCTCTGGACCCAACCATTGAACATTGGCACCTGACCCCTGAGGGAGCGGCGGCTGGGCACCTGCAGCCCTCCTCCCTCTCCTCCTCCTCTTTCTCCTCTTCCCATCTCTGTGGAAGAGGTGTTTGCAAAACGGATTTCGTTTCCAAAGTGTACATTTGGGGGGGTGGGGGGTGGGCTACTTGAGAGAGTGTGTGTGTGCGTGTATGTGTATGTAAGCATGTGGATTTTTTTATCATTTTTAAAAAGGCAGTCCTCTTTGTATCAGTCTGTCATGGGTCTGTAGCTCTATAGCTGTTTCAGTTTTTGTTTTTTTTTCAGCTGTACTCGAGCATCTGAAACTGCCAGAAAGAAACTCATTAAATGTGATTCTTCTTATTAAACAGGCCTGACTGCTGTAGCTGTGTAACTCTCCTCCCCCACCTCCTCCCTCGTCACCTCCCTGACTTTGGCGCAGACACCCCTCTGCAGTGTAGCCCTCTGCCAGGAAGGCTGTGTCCCAGCAGGTGGAAGGGGAGCTGGGGTTTGGTACCAGGGAGGACAGCAAAGGGGCCTTGCTCCCCCTGGGGTCCATCCAGCGGCTTCTGAAGGCTCCCCTCCCAGGGGACCTGCCTCTTTTAGCCGTCTGTTAGGAATATTGCTTTGTTTTTATGTTGTTTAATATGTTTTTGTTTTTAAGAGAAAGCATTCAACATGTATGCAGAGAGTACAAACACAAAAAGATCTGGTTGCAAATGTTACGAGCGTGTGCTGTGTGTGTGTTTGTGTGTATGTGTGTGTGTGCGAGGCACGTGCATATATATGGTAAGCATATATATTGTGCAGCTAGGGTGAAACCAGCAAAGAGGTGTGTATGTCTTTATGAAATGTTTGAAAAGAGATAAGCCGACTGCTTGATAATCATTCTCAGGTGTAAAGCTCCAAGTGTAAATAAAAGTGGCATTTAACAAATCTTTTCAGAACAAAGTACAACTGACTATATATACCAAGCTAAAGAACAGCTGAGCGCTGCCAGTTGCCCTCAGAAGGAGAGACATCCAGAAGCTCTGCTCTGTATTTCACTCACCCAGCTGTTGGGTCAGGACAGAGGACGGGGAATCACGGCATTCTGTGGTATTTGAACGTAAAAGTGAACTTGTTAACTCTCCCGGGTAGAAGAAGAGCCAGCCCTCAGTGTTGCTTTACCTTGCTTTAAAAAAAGTGGTTTTTTTTGAAAGCAGCAGTGGATGGTTTTAAAGAAGTATTGTGACTATAAAATTGATGATGATACCTGTAACACAACTGTGTGTTGCTGTGGCACAGTGTGATTGGCAGAGGAGTGGTGGTGGACTTACTAAAAGCATATCTACTTGAAGAGTCCATTGACCAAAACACTTTGTAGACGATTGTGTAAATGTGGAATCACAGACTGTAAACATTGCCTGGACGCCAGCAGAGTCCCCGGGGCTGCTGGGACCTCTCGTATCATGTTGAACGTGGACTTTTTCTTTTCTGGTTTAAAAGGCGTAAGATGATAGAATCCGTTTACTTTACTAAAGTCGTTCTGACCCACCGTGTAGATCTGTATTTAGTATCATTTGGATTTGGAGACATGTTGATTACCTGATGGCTGTGTAATAAAATTTTTTATTGAAACTGCATCATACTGTAGCCACTTTGCCACTACCTCTTCGCATGCAGCTGCGGAAACCTTCATTGTGAAGCGCCACAGCACGCGGCAGGGAGAGAAGCCAAGCAGAGAAGACCCCAGTTACCTGCCCGAGTGGCTGGTTTGGTGACTGGGATCAAGACTGAGGACTTGTCTGCAGACACATATGAGGCAGGGCCTCTGGACCAAGATCGTGCCCAGGCCTAAGACATTGGCTTTGTCCAATCAGTGGTGGCTTGTCGGTTGACAGGCTTTCTCCTGCTGGGGGATGACTGCTGAGGCCCCTACCCGTGACCTATACGTATTGAAGGGTATGGCACCTAAGGTGGTTTTTCACCTTTTTCAGTTCCTTCCAAGAAGCAAAAAGCCCAATGTCTGTATGCCTAGCCCACTATGTACAAGTCTGTTTGCCTTGCTTCTGACTAGGGAACGTCTGCTGCTTGCAACTCCCCTTCCAAAAGAATGATTTTGTTTTCTTTGTTTCTGTGAAGTCCTGCCTTGTCACTCAAATTGTACAGATATTTGTAAATAAACTTTATGCCCTGTTTTAACAAGGGGGTCAGATTGAGTCCAAGGAGTGCAGCCCAAGTGGCAACTCAAAAGAGCCATAATCTCCCAAATCCAAGAGGACCTCTAGCTCCTTTTTCTAACCCCCTTCCCCCCACACACACGCCTCCAAGTGAAAGTGGCAGTTTTCAATCCCTTCATAGCCTGGTTCCCCAAAAACCCCTCAAGTTGGCTAGAGCCAGTGCAGCCTCCCAACTGGCTTAGTTTATCTTCCTATCTTGATAAGAGACCAACTAGTTTGAACAGATAGATAAAGCCCCTGGTGACACCACCTAGCCTTGGTGAGCATCTCCTTCCAGCTGGCCTGGGCTGTGCCTTTGCTGCCTTGTTTAAGGGAGAACCCACAAGCTAAGTCCAGCTATGGAAGAAGTATTGCTGTGCTTCCCTCGTGTTCCCAAGTTGGGGAGTCTAGGGTTGTGTTTCAGGTAGGAAGCAAGGTTCTGGGTCTTCATCCCCACTCAAGATAGAAACGTGGGTGGCTTGCAAGGAAAACCATCTCAAGAGCCCGGTCCAGCCTGATCCCGCAAGCACACCCAGTGAGGTGCGCTCCTGTTCTCCACCCTGCCTGGGCCCTGGGGAACAGGAACTCTGAACTGGAGATCGACAGCCCCACTTGCCCCCTAATCAGGAAACCTGGGAGTTTACTGCTCTGCTAATCCAGAGCAGGCAAGGAAGAAGACTTGTTTGGGTGCCATGGACAGCAGGTGTCCCAGCCCTATTCTCCATGCCCTCCATTGGTTCCATTGATAAAGGGCTGTAGAGCCTGTTAGCGTGGGCGGCAGGCTGGAGGAATGGCAGCCTGCCTTCTCTGGGCATTTGCCAGGTCAATCCTACTGGCCTCTGGGGAGAACTTGCAGAGGGTGTCTTGGTCCAGGGTAAGGGGTTGCATGTCCTGGTTTAATTCATCTGAGCCCCACATTCTCCATCTCAAACAGCATAAACTGTGGGGATCATGCTAAAGATTAGTGAGAGACTGCACCACTGGGCCTCTGAGGAAAGAGTCCTAGCAGGGGGCCCTGGCCTCCACCCTGCAGGTGGCTGCACAAAATGGGTAATAGGACCAAGGTAAAGAACAGACGCCTCAGAACAGCCAGGATCAGGGCAAAAACGAAACCATCCCACCTCACAGAGACCCTGTAGGGCAGAGTAGAACTACCCCTAGGGTTTCCAAGGCTGTAAATTGTGGGGGGAGGTCAGATGCTTACAGACATTCTCCCAGAAGACAGCCACCAGACCACGGGTGGGCCTGCTCCCTGCTGCTTGGCCTGCTCCCTGCTGCGGGGGACAATGGACTACTCCCTGAGGCTTGCGGCCATGAACTTGGTTCCTGTAGGTGGGGTTTACACCCTACTGATAATGGTTCTTAGGGAGATCCAGAGGGCAGATCAAACTGGCTGGGCATCCAAAGTTAAGCTGCCATCTTGACTCTAGGGTCTGCCCATCTTGTCACATGGATAGCCCCAATCCCTCTTCCTGTTGCTTGTATACCCCTAGATTGTCTCCCTCTCATTGCTGTATAACCTATAGTGCAACCCCTTCCTGCGACGTATGTCTTTACCTTTAATTAGTGGGCTTGCATGCCCCCAAAGGTATATAGGCCTGGGTTAGCAAGTGAGATCTCTCTCAGCTCCTCCCTTGACTTCCCTCTCTTGCCCTGTTCCCTTTCCCCTTGTCCTCCTTCCCTTCCCCCTCTCTCCATGTGGATTACCAAGCGGGGCTGAGGTGAGCATGCTACCATGAAATGTGTCAGACTCCATTATTTCTCTTTCACTTCTATCTCTCATGCTCTCGATTACTTTAATATTTCTATATCTCAACCGTACAATTGTGCCTATTGAACCCGAGATTAGTGGTAGGGAGCTGGCTCCCCCCTCAAACCACAGTAAATCTTTATGGGAGCAGAAAGCCTCTGCTTCCTTCCCTGTAGAACTGCAGGTGGTTTTGAACAGCCGACCTTGCAGTTAGCAGCCAAACTCCTAGAACAACGCACAAAGAAAATAAGCTAACCCAACTGCCAGACAACTGGGGGAGCCCACCATCGCTGCCACGCCACGCACGCCGTTTATTCAAAGCCGGCCGAGGATGTCAGCCTGCCCGCTCCAAGGGGCATCTCTGCCACCCTAGCGAGTTCAAAGATTTAAGTCCCCCACCTCCCAACATCACTAAGCACAACCAAAGCTCAAAAACAGTAGCAAAGCGAAGGGGGGGAAATATTATTTATATATATATATATATATATTCAACCTCCTAGTCCCTTCCAATTCAACTACCTCCACAGCATCTTCAAAATACTTTTTTGGGTTTTTGGTGGGTGGGGGAGGTTGTTTTTAATTCTCAGAAGCTCATATGAAGGCTATGTATTTCTCGGCCTCGCCTGGAACGCACTGGCCTGTCTCTGCTTTGCTGGCGAACTCCTCCTCACCCTCCAGGGAGGTCACCTCCGTGGTTGGTGAGTCGCCCCACTCAGACGGGAGGCACTAGAAGAGTCCGGGGCTTGTCTCTCCAGCTCCCTAGCCTTCGGGGCCACGAGGTGGTGAATGCTCCAAACAGAAACCCGCAGGGGACTCCGGCGGCCAGCCTGCAGGGCACAGTGGACGCGCCCCCACCGAGCAGCAGGTTAGCGATCCCGCACTTTAACCAGGGCGCCGCAGCCGCGGGCGCTCCTCTCGTGCTCGCACGGGGCGGGGCATGCGAGCGAGCATTCCTTCTGCCCCGGACACGCGCACGCCCAGGCGGCCTGCCCCGCGGGCTCGGCCCTGACACCGGGAGAAAGCCGCCTGCAGCCGGGGGAGGCGACCCGGCTCCGCGCGCCCGGCCACGTGCGCAGCAGCCCCTCCTCGTGCGCGCGCGGTCCCAGCTCCAGCTCCGGCGGGGCGCGCGGCCCCACGGCTTTAGGGAGTTGGGCGCATGGGTTCAGGGCTCGGGGCGTTCCTGGGTGCTGGTGAGAGGGGTCGGGTAGCCGGCCCCCGAGCCTGCAGGCCTCCTTCCAAGATGTTCGGGGGTGAGGTGGGGTGGGGGACTGGTCGCCCGCGCACCCAAAGGTGGAGGCCGCGCTGGCAGACCCAGAGACCCCAGTTGGAAATTGGAACTGCTCCCACCCTTCTGGTGTCCGTGAAATGGCTGAATGCTCTGGGAGGTTTGGAGTGGGGAAGCCATCCTTAAGGACAGCTGCGGGTTCCCTGACCTCAGACCCTCCCAGACCTCCACTTGGCCACTGGCTGGGAGGGGGATTCTGTCTGCAGAGAAGGGGGAGGGAGGAACACTTGTTTCTGAAGTGTCAGGAGAGATGTGGTGACACATTTAGTTCGTTTTAGATAAGTGTGACTCAGATGGTAGAGGGTCACCAAGCCCCAGCCCCGCTGAAGGATGCTAGCATTCGTCCCAGAATATTCCTGGGAGCCCAATCTGCAGGCAAAGAGTGGGGGGAGAGGCTCAGAAAGGCTCTGGGTTATGGTGGAGGGGCCTCCTGGCAGGGGAGGACTCTTCACAGGACAGAGACCTCCAGGGCCTCCCTCAGCCTCAGGTTTTCCTTGGATCCAGACTGGCCATCCGTCCAGCACCCCTTCTGATATGCTAGAGACCGAAAAGGGGACCTGAGTTCTGACCGAGAATTAATTGTTCTGGGGTGTGTGAAACAGCTGAGAGACCAAGAATCCAGCCATTTAGCATCCTGGGCCGGGGTTCCAGGGTGAGCCCTTGACCCCCTGAATTTCATTCTTCCAGAAGGCAATGCAAAGTGGACCTAACTCTTTCCCTCTCCCCTTGCCTGCTGCAGAGCAGGGGCTCAGTGGGGCTTCTTTGCTTTGTGGAAGAATGAATGAACGGATAACTGGTACCATCACAGAGCCTTGGAGTCAGGACCACTGTGGACACCAAGGCCTACCGAGTATACCGGGGGGGTACTGACTAGGATGAAACTGCACCACCTGGTCCTGAGGAGCAGCCACCAGCCCCAACGCTCTGTTTTCAAGTCCCCTCAAAGCAGAGGTTTGTCTAGGGAAAATCACACCTATGACAAGCACTGAAATGGCACTCCCTGCCCAACCTCCTAATGCCCATCTTTTAGAGAACATTACCATAATATCTGTCCCCCAACCACAAAAAAAGTCAAGCCTGTTCGTGTATTTACTTAACACAGCGGTTCTCAACCTGTGGGTCGCTAACCCTTTGGGGGTCGAACAACCCTTTCACAGGGGTCCCCCAAATCATAACAGTAGCAAAATGACAGTGATGAAGTAGCAATGAAAACAATTTTATGGTTGGGGGGTCACCACCACATGAGGGACTGTATGAAAGGGCTGCGGCAGGAGGAAGGTGGAGAACCACTGACTTAACACATGGTACTACATGAACATGACAGCTACACCTTCCTTGCTTTTACAGATGCACATTGGTCTAAGATGTGCTCAAAGTCTTTCTGTTTGTTTGTCTTCTTCCAGTTTCTTTCCACACTCAGCAGAGCAAAATCACACAGTCCATCTTGACCCAGAGAGACTCTCAAAATAGGGAAGCATTCATTGTAATAACCTCTCTCTCAGAACTGGCAAATGAAACTGCTGTCTCCCAACCCCCAAGTGGCATCCAGGGCACATGCCATACCTGCCTTACCTTAGCTACACTCGTAGTAACAGGTACCTGTTCAAGGAGAGAGATTAAAGAATATAGGCCACCTACTCTCCACCAGGTGAGAAGCCCTTCCTATGGGTCTTGAGAAGCAAAATCTGGCACTGGCTGGCAGGGGCCTTATCCTGCCCCTGGGCCATTAGTGCTGTCCTGGGCTGAGGGAGAAGAGGGCCAGGCCAGGTGGGGAATGAAAGCACTTCCCCACCATCTACCCACTTCCCCCTACCCATTTCCTGGGTTCTGCCTTTGCCTAGCTTAGTCCCAAGGTTGCTGCCTCTGGGAGCTCTCAGGTGGGGCAAATTCTGAAGGTCTGGGAGGGGACTGGGGGCTCAAACACCCCAAGGAGAGAGCCTATAGGCTACACACAGGAGGACCGCTGGACTAAGCTGCCACAGAAGAGGAAAGCTTCAGACATGTACCTGGTCTACTTGTGGACAAAGTCATCAATGGACCATCAAAACCTGAGAATGCCTTTCTATGTTCGTTTCCCCATTTTTTGCAGGACACAAGAGGCCATTCCCTCCATCTACATGCTAAGTTTCTCCACATTCCTTCTAATACCATTTTAATCACTAGGGAAACTGAGGCATCAGAGAACAACTGAACCATGGGTTCAAAGGTTCGAGTAAGAGGCAATAAGAACCCCTTGACCTTATCCTGCAGCTACATTGGGATCTCCAGGCCAGGCCTCCCAAAAGCACCTGGATGTTTTCTGCCTGTGGGAAGTAGCAAAGAACTACGTACTGATTATAAGACATTAATGAAAGAAATTGAGCATAGCACAGGAATGTTGGGGACAATCAGGGAGCCACAGGGACACACCCGGACTTTTCCACCAACCAGATCTGGTACCGTGTGAAAGTGCCCTAACTCCTCGGATGAGTCACTTGCTACTTCTGTACTGTGACTTAGGAGAACCAGGTGCATTTAAGCACCAGCCCATCTGGAACCGTCTATGGGATTAGCTCTATTAGCTCCCGCTTTTGACACACATTCTTAGGACTGCTCTTACCTTTCCAGTGGGGGGAACCTGGGAAGGTCGTGCGTAGAACTCATCTCGTTGTTGCTGATTTGATGGATCTGACACTTGGGCAAGCACCTGACATAAGAGAATTACTTTCCCCGTGGGTTTTCTCTTACCAGCCAGACAAAGACCCAGTCCCCGGCCGACCAGCTTGTGCCTCTAACATGGTCCTTACAACCCCTGGCACCCACTTCCTTCCTTCCTTTCGCTTCCTACCTTTCTAGTTTGGCTAGGTCACCGGTGGCTCACTCTCCCTGGGTTTGCCCTTATCTGAAGGCAGACCCTTTCCTTGCTCCACTATAGCATCAAGTGGTTCCGAAGGAGGGAGCAAGTGCAGAAGGCTAGGGCTTCCAAACCGCAGAGCACACCCCTCACACAAACACCCCGGGCTCCTCCGGAGAGATCATGCCATTGGATTGCCAGGCTTCTCCAAGGAAAAATCAGGTGTTCACATTTCTTTTTTCTCTAACTACTTATTCTCTCCATTTGTACTTCTCCCCAACCCACCCCAGCTTCTTCCTTTCTTTCACTTTCTTAGTTGCCCAGGAGGGTCTCTGTGGCAGTTACACAATTTGTTGTCAACTTGAGATTATTAAGAGTGAAGGGGGTGGAATTTAGCCTGTTAATCAGGTTGCAGTTTGATGACCTCATTTGGAGGCGCCAAGGAGATAAATAGCTTCCTGGAGGTGGGACACATACTCTCACCCCCACACCCACCTCAGGAGATTACTGAGAAGGAGCCTGATGGAGATACCCTGATGCAGCCAGAGTCCTGGAGCTGGAGGAGTCATGTGGAGACCCACACCAGCACTGAGATACCTCCACCGCCACTGGATCCAGAAGACTTTCCACCCACTAGCCTGTGATCTTCCTGCATTCGGAGTTATTGTTTGTGTTTCATGAGTCTGAAGAGGTCTTTATAGATTGGTATCAGTCATATGGGCTAATATCAGACTTACGGACTTGATCTGGACTGGGCTGGGATGTTGTCTCAATATTCAATCGCTTTGTATATAAAACTCTTTCTTATACACACCTGAGTGTCTATGAATTTATTTCTCTGGTCTACCCAGACTAACAGTCTCCTTTCCAACTTGCTCAGGATTCTCAATCTCCCTCTGAACCTCCCTTTCATACCTCCAGGGTTTGAACCTCGAATGTTGGCTGCAGGGAGATAAGGTAGGACCGTACTTTGTGGCCTGGGCCAGCATCCAGGGCAACTCTTCTGGGGGTACTCTCCCCATCGGGCCCCCCAACAGTTACGTGCCTACTGGCATTTGAGAGAGAACAGGAAATGCGGTGAAACACTGGCCATCAACATAGGAAGTGACCAATGACCCACCAGTGAGGACGCCGATGGACAATTTGCAATGTATGAAACATTGTCGCCAACACTAGTGCTCTCCTTCCACTAGCCAAACCCCAACTCCACGGAGTCAAGTCTTCCTAAATTCGCAAGTGAGGGAATGAATGGACTGCCTCAAACCACATCAAGATGGCTGGCTGTGGACCCGAGACAGGCTCTACCGCCTGGCCCCCCCCCCCAAAAAAAAATAATTCTACTCCTTTAAAGTGGTGACACATCGTTCATTTTATTTTAGTCTCACAGCAACCCTGGGAGGTGGACAGCAGTCTTGGGAGAGGGAGTCAGCAGTTCAGACAGGTGACACTACTTGCAGTCTCAAAGCTCAAACTCCCCACCCACGGGAGGAAGGAAGGCTCGGCCCCTCCATCACCTCTCCCCACCCCCACCCCGCCAGGGCTTATTGCCCAGGACGTCGTCGAAACACGCGGAGAAATCGGCCCCACCCGCTACGTTAACGGCGTCCAAGGATGTCGGGAGCTTCAGCTGAGCAACCTCAGCCGGTCCTTGGGACAAATCCCCATTTTGGTGCACGCCCTGGGGTGGGGTTTCTTGGGCGGGCCTACGGCCTTGAACGTTGTGCTGGAGGAGCCTCGGCTGGGAAAAAGTCCCGGAGACTTGGAAATTTTGGCCCGGGACGGATGGAACTCGGAAAGGAATCCAAGGGCCAGGGTGGGCAAACGAGCTCAGGGCCAGCTCCGCCCCCGCAGGGTCAGAGCCCGGCGAGCCGCCGGAAGGAATCCGTCCCAGTCCTCAAGCCCGGGAAGGCGGCGAAGCCC